TTCTGAGAAGAATAACAATTATACATGTTGTGTAATTGTTGTTGACATTCCTTAGTATTTATTAGGGAACATGTAATATTAATGGATAAATAGAAGGGACACATTTAATAAAGGAAATAAATTAAAAGTTCAATTCAAACTTTACCAGCCCAGTAAATGAGCATCTAATTTTTTGCATGGGAACAGCTAAATGTAGTCATTGAAGATGGATGGGCTCCACAATTAGTAATTTTCACCAATCTCGTTTTTCAGACGTTCTGAGCCATTGACTTCGTTTAAAAGTGTTCCTAGCATTTCTTTATAAACCATTCCCTTTGATTTTAAGGACCAGACAGAAGTCAGGAAACTTTCCTGACAGGCAGAAGCAGGATAATCCTTATCCAGAGCAAGTGGTAGCTTACCTTCATTCACCACAAGAGGCTGCAGAGTAGATAGAATATACCAGTTCAGAAAGTAATTAGGCAAATTCATGAACAGTGGTTCTATAAACAGACACTAACATGAATAGGCAGAAATGTACCCTCTAGCATCCTTAAGACAGTGAATGAATGATGAGAGAGTGCAAAGAGAATCAATCACAGGGAATAGCAAAACTCGGATCTTTTCTCCAAATCTTGCCTCCCATTCCCCCTCTCAGGCATAGAACTTCAAATGAGACAGACCATGTTCTTAGCAGGGCTGCCAACATACTAATTTCTTCCCAAAACAAAGTGCTAGGACTGGGAAAGAGCTGGGACAGAGAACCAAAGAGAGAGCCTTGGATGTTCACTGCTGTTGCTCATTTGTTTACAGAAGCTGGAAAAGCTGCTTAAGGTGGCTGGAGAGGAGAACAGCCACCTTTCTTTCAGCAGAAACTGCACACTTCCACTCTTTCTTCGGTAGCCATGGGAGTCAGCCAGGTTTTGCAGAGCCTTTTTACAAAAAGGGCTGTCTTTTAATGAAAAAAGAATGAAGAGCCTGGAGGAAAATTTGGTATAGGGAGGAGATGGTTAAAGACAAGTATTTATCTTCTCCGGGTAATTTACAAATAAATACAATCTTCAGCAGTCTGAGGGCTGTATTTTGAGTGGCGAGTGCCATGGAGCATCTGTCCACTTAATTGAGTTCCCTAATCTGTGTTCTCTCGGTATTGCTGCTTCAGTTACTAATAGTGAACAGCTAGAAATAAGAGCCCTGAAATATTGAAAGCAGCACCAGTTTAATTATTCAGTTGCATTAAAAATAATAAAACCAATTGTTTATATTAAATTCTCAGTAGAATACAAAGTGTACTTCCAAAAGTAATACATTTTGAGACTGTTCAGAGATGTTAGAAATAAATATATCATTGACTATTAAGAGTTCTGTTCATACTACATTAACTTTTGTTGAGTATGGTTTTATATTAAATGAAATAGTTCACACAAAGATACATTTATGAGATAAAAAAATTTACTTTTTTATGGATCTCTGAGAGAATACAAAGAAGTTTTCTTAGTTTTTACTTTTTCTTGAATATTCTGTACAGATAGACAGCTTGACAGAAAAGTGGTAGGAAAGTGGAAAGGCATCCTGGTCATAACTCAGTACACACAAATTTAAACACTTCCCACAGCAGCCCTTGAAGAAGAGCTGTTTTGTGTCCAAGGAGCAGTTCTGCATCAAGACTTAACTTTAAAACATCCCATGCAGGCAGAGGGTCTCTGTCATGCTCCATCTTCTCATAATGCTAAACCTGGGGGTGGTGCAGGGAGGGGGAAGCACTCAATCAATGACAACAACTAAAAAGCTAACCCATCACTCAAAATTTATTCCTAACATAAGAAAAGATAACTTAAAAGGCAGAAGACATATTTTCTGTTACTACTTGTCATTGCAATACACTTGAAAACTTTTTCCCTCCACTGTTTTTTGTCATTAAACTGAATGTATATACTTTTAATGCTTTAAGACCAATACTATTGATATTTTAGCAGAATAATAATTTATGATAAAATAGTATGATGCTTAGAATAACATTCTTTAATGATCAGTCTTCATATTGTATGGCACAGCTCTTTCTAATTGGATCAACCCTTTCCAAAAGCTTCTAAAGCAGAAAAAAAACCAAAGGGCTCTGGGGCAGAAAGATTTACATTCTCAAAAGGAGACTATAGATGTATAAAAAAAGGTGAAGTGTGAGAGGGGAACAGTGATTGTGATTCTAAATATTTTTTCCTGCGTGATACATCATTTTCCCTTCTAGTCTTTCTTTTCTATTGCTTTTTTTAGTCTCTGCATTTGCAGGATTTTACTATTTGTTATGCCCACTCATGGTGGTGTCTGCAATATAACTTCATAGCATTCCTGATTTGAAGCATATGAACCTTAGACAAAATGATGCTCATCTGTTTTTTGGCTGACATGAAGCAGGAAGACCACAGAGGGCTGTTCTCATTTGTCTGTCACAGAGCAAATGAGACACAACTGTGTCTCCACACATTTTTCTTTTTTTAACCATAGATGGTTAAGGAGCTTTGAAACCTTATATGGACACTGTGGTGCAGGATGATCTAGTGTGAGGCTCATTTTATTCCTGTGCATGGGATTATGTCCTAATGGGAAGTCTGCCCCACTGCATGGCTGCCAGCTAATGAGAGCTGTTTACCAAGATCCCCTCTGTTACAAGCCCAAGCATAATATGCTGGACAATCAGTCTGTTGGTGGTGTTCACAAGGCAGTTCTGTGATTATCGGTTGTGGGGATGTCTACCAGAAAATGTGCTGAATGCAAACCCCCTAAAATTTTATATTCCCTCCTTGACCTTTCTGGAAATTTTAAACATGCATGTTAGTCACTTCCTAAATTCATTTGTGTAGGTCTTTTCTTCAGAATGAAGAAGCCTGTGTCCAAGTGGGGCCGCATCCCTAGCTAGTGTATATGCACAATGAAAACAATAAATGTGAAAAATAGCTCTGGCTTTTCTAGAATACATTGTGGGTTTAAAACTGTGCATCAATTGTCAAATGAGTTCAAACATGCCCCATTTGTGTCTGTCACCATGGTCTGTGACAGCCATCACTGTAGTCTGTAATTCTGCCATCACTTTCATCTGCTTTAGTTATTCTACCTGTTTCTGAATTTTTAATCCTCTTTTTGACAAATCTAAGTAATTTTTTTTTCAAGTGCTTTAATTAGCAGTTTTGCTTCCCAGTGAATTACTTGCTGACTGAATCATGCAATCCTTCACTTGACAGGAAGGGTGTAAACAAAGAGAATTTTGAGTAACAGTCAAAACTGCAGCATTGCTGCTACATTATAAAAACTAACTTCAAAGATGAGATGGAAAAAAAATAAAATAGGAGTTTCAGATATCATTAATGCTGTAGTTGGATCCTGTATCAGTAAATGCAATTCTGTCATTCACTGTGGAAAGATAACATTTACTCTTAAATACGTATTAAATAATCTTTTGTAATCCTGCGCTACGTACTGTCAGAATTGTTAGATTGTATTGCAGGTTGGGAATGCTGCTGCAGCATTCACATGGCACGTTCTTCTAACTTGCAGCACTTAGTTCCATGACAATTGAGTCATAGAAGCTAAAATGACCAATTTAGAGTCTAGAATAAAGTCATGCTATTACCATACCCATTGCATTAGCACTAGAGCTGAATGGCCACACTGTGCAGCATAATAGCATCTAATGAAAACCTTCAGCTGTCACGAATTTTTCACATTACTGTATTTTCATTACTTTATATGATATTTAACAATTCAAGAACATTGAAAAAAGTCAGTGTTTTCAGAGAGCTGTGTATTTTTGGGGTTTGGTGTTCTTTAAACGTGTGCAGATATTTGATTGCGCTCTTCATCTCTGGAATTTAATTTACTTTAGAGTTTGGTATGAATTACTTTCAACGTATGTCTGCAGTAAGTGAACTGGCTATTTTAAGGATTATGCATGTAGTTTTTTGGGGATGTGTGAGATGTGCAAACAGAAAATTATGAAAAGAAGAATACCTATTATGTAGTATTTTACTTGTAAAATTTATTGATAAGTGAATTCCATGCAAATAGTTTAAGTTAATTTAATGTAAAAATACCAACAGTAGATTAGATGAGAGAAAAGAGACATTTTTAAAAACCATGATTATAGGCTCAATCATTATTTTTCAATGTGAAAAATCACTAAGATAAGTACATTAAGACTTATTGAGTTATTCACATGTGTTTGAAGTTAAGCTCATATTTAAGTGCCTTGCTGAACCAGAGGTAAAAAAAAAATCTGGTAAGGGCAGTTTTTCAAAGTAAAAATTAAAGTGGAGGAATTTTATTTATTTATTTACACATAAGAGACTTAGTTGGTCCAAAAGAATTAGAAACAAACTTACAGCAATATATGAAAATATCAAGTTACAGACCCAATGCCAAGAAATATGATTACATCAAAGTTCAAATCACCTTTGCTAAATTATTAAATTTTTAAAAAACATATTTTTTAAAAAAGTAATTAAGATGCTTTTGGAGTTTGATAATATCTCTTTACACTTTGTTTTGGAAAAGCTGGAGAGAGCATGATGAACATGTTTGCTTTCCAGCGAAGACAGAATAATTTCCAATTAAAAGCTGTTATATAAAATAAAATAAAATAAAATAAAATACAAAATAAAATAAAAGAAATGTATCTTTCCATGTAGCATTTGTGTTCAAATATTGAAATAATCCATCTGATATCTTACTATGTGAGTTTGAAATTAATTGAAAATAATTATGGAATCGCACATATTTTCATTACATAAACAGAGAGTAATTAAAAAGTTAAACAAAGAGCATATAAGATAAAAATAATTAATTTCAATCATTATAAATTGCATGAATTGCAAGAAAAGAAAATGTGTTCTGTTTACCTGGTAAGGTCCTTTGAATAACAACAGTTATGTGTTGTTAGCATTTGCATATTAAACAGCTAAGCTCAGTCAATGCATTATGGAGATCTACCTCTTTGATGCATCATAACCTTGCATTTTCATTCCTTGCAGAAGGGAATCCATATACCTGGTGGGTTGGAAAAGCCAATGAGAAGCACTACTATTGGGGCGGATCAGGACCTGGCATTCAGAAATGTGCTTGCGGCATCGAACGCAACTGTACTGATCCCAAGTACTACTGCAACTGTGATGCTGATTATAAGCAATGGTGAGTGGTTTACAAAGTGGTAGGATGAGAATGACCAAATTTCTTCACTTTTACAACACTGTCATTACTTTGAATATCTCTTATTTCTATATTTCCTTTCTTTCCAAAGAACAAAGGTAAAAATATTATATTTGTGATCCCTCCTGCAACGTTACCTATCCTTGTCTTCATTTCCATTTTATTCACGGTATCTGTGACTGTCAAATATAAGGACTATAGTTATGTTTTCAAGCCCATTGAGCTATAGAAAAGAATGCTAGAATTGTAAAGGCAAGTTCTCATAGGAAAGGCCAGCATTCTAGCTGCCAATGCAACTTTGTCTCTATCAGATTCAGTTATATTACAATACAGTACTAATTTTATCTCTGCAACTTCATTTTTTTCCCCAGAATTTCTGCTTTTTATGGTGTTGTTGCTGCATTTGAATGTGAGAGATATGGATTGATATCACTCATCTATTGCCTCTCACCCTCATTATCCATCTTTCATGAGAAAAATGTATTAAGAACTAGTCTTGATGTGTATTATAGAACATGGCTCTGTATTTTGAAGGAAGCTATTGGGCTTTTGTATTGGGGAGCCCAGAAGTGGACTCAGCACTCCAAGTGCTGGACTCACCAGAGCTGAGCAGAGGAGAAGGGTGGCCTCCCTTGACCTGCTGGCAACACTTTGCCTAATACACCCCAGGTTACCATTGGCCTTCTTGGCCTCAAACACACATGGTTGGCTCATGTTCAACCTGGTGTCCACCAGGACCCTCAGGGCCTTTTCTGCCAAGCTGCTTCCGAGCTGGGTGGCTCCCAACATATACTGGTGCATGGAGTTGCTTTTCCCCATGTGCAGGGCTTTACACTCTTTGCTGTTAAACTTCATTGTATTTCTGTGTACCTGTTTCTTCAGCTTGTGAAGATCCCTCTGGATAGCAGCATGACCCTCTGGCATATCAACGTCTGTTCCCAGTTTGGTGTGATCTGTAAGAAAGAAGTATGAAAAATACAAAATTAGAGTAATAGAAGAAATCTTTCAGGCCATGAAAAAATTATAGATTAAGATGTGGAAAATCAAATATTGCCAAAGACATTGCCTCCCAAAGCTTTGACATTGTTAGTATAGTTTGTTGTTAGCTATGATATGGGGTGAATTATAGAACACCAGGGATAGAGAAGTCAATATTAGAGACAGGGGAATCAGACATGCTGTCAAAGTTCAGAGGTAGAATTATACACAAAGTGAAGAATATAAAGTCAAAGGACTCCAACTCAAGTATAGGCACTAGAGCAATGTGTCAGGAGGGAGGTAGGTAGGTTTGGTTCTGTGTCAAAATGGTAATGATAAAAGAAAGATATTGTAATAATAATTACAATAATGGTAGAATTAGGAGCACTTACAGTTTTCATTGCCTGAGGCACTGAATGCATATCCGTGAATAATAATCTATACCATATGTTGAGTGTTTTCTTTTACACTAAGGGAAATGTGTAGGGGAAATAGCATTGACTTTTGATCTCTTCTTGAAGATTCTCAAAGAGTCACAAATGGTAATTTAATAAGCAGTGTTCACTAAATAATCTTTTTCTGTAATCTCTACACCCCCATATACACCAAGATTATCTGTATTCTACTATAGATTCTACTGTAGATTCATATAGTTATTAGATTTGTCTAAAATAGGATTATCATAAAAGATATTCAGCTGTTTGCTCAGAATTCATACAAAAATATATTTATATGGTATTTCTCTTGATACATATCAGAATTTTTTCAGGACAACTACTGTTTATTACAGGACTGTTTATGAAAAGTAATTATGCAGCTGGGTATTATATTCTAATCTGTGGTGTGTGTAAATCACAGGAAGAAACAAATGCCTTATTATAGTCTTTAAGGGCATTTTGTTCAAGATTCATAAGTTAGGTTTTGGCAAAATGTAGCCCTTTCCATAGTCATACCTTTTGGGTTTGAGAGTTATTTTGAGGAGTCCTAGTTAGGAATTTTATCTAGCCAGGTTGATCAATATCTAAAAAACAAGTGAGCTTCAGAGCAGAGACCTTGATGATTTCAAGCATCAGGGCCAGAATTTAACCAGGGCCTCCAGCACGGCTGTACACAGTTCTGGTGACAGGAAAACAGCTCCCGGTTTAGACCACAGAATCTGCAACAGTTTATGATGAGCAGACAGGTCTCAGTTCACAGATTGACAAAGCAACTAGCCACAGCCATTAACATAGCTCATCAGCACAACTAATTTTAGAAAAACTTACAGTCCTCAAACAGAAGGGCTGAGTAAAGGCTGAAATGGGGCTGAGAGACCAGGTGGGACTTTTGCCATAATTGCATATCTTATCCATAGCTGGGAGCACTGCATTAGATTGTAGTATGCCTACAATGATGTTCTGCTCCTGCCCAGGTAATGTGGAAAAAGTTGTTTGGGATTTTTTTATGGTTGGCAGGGGGAATACAGATTGGGAAGAAGTCAGTAGCCACAGCAGCAACTATATTAGGAAAGGTAAAGAGATAAAATGGGAAAAGAAGTCTGCTGCATGGAAATTGTGAAAATGAAAGGTGAAAAGGAAGAGTGAGATTCAGGACAGAGATTTTTAAAGGAAATTGGGTGTTGCTGTTTGAGGGGTTTCTGGGGGGTCACTGCCGGCCGCTCTGTGAAGGTTTTCAGGGCTGGGATCACCCCCCCCGCCGCCCGTCCCTCGTGGCAGGGACAGGCGGCGGAGGTACTTAAGCCAGGAGACAGAGACCACGTAGCACGCAAGGAATCCAGCAGTGAAGAGAGCTTTATTCAAATTTCCCGCAGCTTATAAGGGCTGCTGGGCAAAGGAGGGGATTGGCCATTTGGCTAGCCAATGCAAGGAGACAATATAATAACTATGGCAACACAGAAACCAATGGTAGACAAGTGAGTTAACAACTTCAAAACCCCGGCAATTGGGGAGCCACTGAAAAGTGGCTCAGGCTGAATCAGAATGATGTAGTGTAAGTAGAATATTGTTCACAATTTTTATTGTAGAAATTAGAAATTGTGTTAGAAATGAAGAAAGGAATTACAGTTTGATGAATCATCCCATAGCAAAGCCAGGAGAATGCTTCCCCAGAGAACTGGATTTTAACCCTGCCTCTGGAACCACATTCCTGCATGATGCTTCTGAAATTTCATAAGCCATTTCTTCACAGAACAGTCAGTAGTTTAATCCTCATTTTCTGGGGATCTAACTGGGAACCCAGAGGCCTACTTTGTGGAAATACCAAACATTCACAGCTGCAACCAGAATAAGGGATCATTCCTCTCAATGTATCTAATGCTGTCCTTCAAAGAAAAAAAAAGCCTGTGGGAATCTCAGATTGAATGCTAAGTATGTGTTTTCAGTCTCAACATCCAATCTGTAGAAGGGAAATTATGCCAGATAGTAGCCCATGGAGGTATTGCCAAGATAGGTAGATATATGAAGCAATCATCTGCTGTACTAATGAACACTATAAAAAATCCAAAGAGGAAATGCAGTCTTTCTAGAAAGATTTGAAATAACACATTAGACATAAAATGGGATCTACATATTGAAGCATGAGAATAAATTTGGAGAGTGAGCAGTGTTTTACAAAATGAGTATTGTCTGCCTCCTATACTGAACAATGCTGGAGCCCTCTGGAATAAATAATAATCAGTGACAAGTCAAGGACTGTATCATGGTGATAGGTACAGGATACAAATTAAAGCTCTTTAGGCAGGCTGAAATGCTTCTTTTTCTTACATTTTGTGTTTGGTTTGATTTGAGTTTTTTAACCAAGTATGTGAGTAATTTTATGTAAGTATAGAACCAGCTGTGTTAATTATGGGCTCAATTACAGTGTAACTTTTCCCAGGCATTAGCATACACCATAAGCTTGATAAACCTTACATCTGGACAGTTGTTCTATTAATGCTTTTTAAAATTTCACTGAACAACTTTACACTTGTCTATTTGAATAAAATAGTTGTAGAGCTATTTAGCACATGCCTAATGTGTTGATTATCATGCCTGGATGGTAGATAAGCCAAATGGTAGATATTGTCAGTGATATGTAATTCAAATGTATGTGTATTTGCACACATCATCTAAAATAGAACCATATTCTTAAAAGAAACCCATGTTGCTACTGCAATGTAAGTGTTAAGTAATCATTTTTGTCCTGCTAAAGAAACAAAAACATAGGTGGGAAGAGCTTCACCCAGAGTAATCTTGCCAAAATGATCCTTAGTCACAAATTATCCATGACTTTTGTCCAAAATGAAATTAATTCAGAGTTAAATGATTCAGATTATATAAAAAGGTTAGTTTTTACTTCCTAACAAAGATCATTTTTTAAAGAGTGTGTGGTTAACATTCAAAGTCAAATTGCCTCAATCCTCAGAGAATAAAATCTACTAAGGTAGCTGTTATTAGTAATGAGTTTCTCTGGGTTCCTGTTAAACAAAATCATAATCATATGAGTAACTTTAGGTAAAATGTAGGACTTTAAAAAAAAAAAAGGCTTATTTGAATAAAAACATTATTATTACAATTTAGACAGTTCCTTAAAAAAATGGCTGACATTGTAGAGACAGGCACACTGTACCAATTCTGTACCAATTAAGTACCAAGTGTAAAGATCTGCAAAGCAATTTTGATTCCTAATCTCCTTTGACCCTAAAGTCACTCAGATTGGCCAAAGTTTCTACACCACAGGCTCCTTACTTTTTGTTACATAGCAATCACAGTTGGTCTGAAGACATAATATGATACTGTTCAAGGATTTACTCAGAAAAAGTGACATAAGAATTCTTTTTCATTAGCACTTCCTGATGTGAACACACTTCAGCAATCTACTGATACATATACTAAGCAAACACAAGCTCTGATACGAAACAATCTAATTAACATACTATGAGGTAAGCACAGGCAAAAGCTCTAGTCCTAAAAGCAGCTTTAATGCAAGTAGAGCATCTTTCTCACCCAAGGCGTCCCTCTGGGGGG